ATAAGCTGCAAAAGGTGCATGATTTTGAGATCTTCTTGGTTGAAAGGACTATCAAGTATAATGAGCTCTTTTATTGATAAATCAAGAACTATTTGATTAGGATATGTGAAGAAAAGTTGATGTCCTAAATGATGTCGTAACATCATTTTGTTATCCCTGAAGCAGGTATCAGATTATTATTATAGAGGATTGAGGATCAACTTTGTTGCCATAAAATGGAGTCTGACTATGTGGATTTGAATGAGAAGATTCTGATCTTGTATAGTAGTATGTTATGGAAATGCATGACTACTATCGTTTCGAATACTTCACTAGTATTAGCAATTGCTACCGGAAGTAAGGGCAGAGGAACGGTTATCAGATATTAAGGTCTGATCAGTATTTTTTAAGAATGTGTTTTTCTTCTTCTGTATGTAACCCCTGAAGGATTTTGGTTTGTCTGGATCTCAATAAAGCTTTTAAGAAGACTAAGAATTTGTGAAGTTTATACTCAGCTGGAGCATTAATTATCCATGACAGGGGGAGTTAAGTGATTGTTTATGGATTATGACTAAAATGATGCATATTTTGTGAAGCTTACGTATTTTATGAGCTTGTGGAGATTGGATGCCTCTAATGAGGTTATGATATCAGGCAACATGTATTGACATGGTGCTTCTAAATGGTGATTGGTTCTAGCTAGGCGAGGCTAGCTATTTGAATCATTTTCACACACGTTTCTTAGGAGAAGTCTAAAGAACACTTTGATTTGTGTCTGAGAATTTATTTTTCTTTGCAATTTTTTTGGAAGGACTCTATCAGAATTTTTGGAGCTGTCTTATGTAATGGTCTTGATAATCTATATTGTGTTGGAGCATATGTAGTGACCTGTGAAAGACAATGTATTTCTGTGAAGCATCTTGGTCTAATGTTTGAAGATGTGTAGTCAATTTTTTTAAAGAAAAAGAATACAATGTTTGACTAGATGTCAGGATACTTTTTTGAGACATGTTCTCTCCTTGAGCCAAACAAGGAAGTAGTGTGAACGGTGTAGTCAGGAGGTTGTATAAAACTTAATGTTTGTCTTTGCACGCACATGTATTAGAATTATGAAGATAGTCAAAATATGTATTGGACGGTGCATTTGTATTTGGTGATCTCCCATAAATAACGTTCTCATTTACCAAGACCGTTGTTTCCGAATAAGACTACTTAGATATTTAAAAGAGGTCATTCATTCACCTCTTTCATCTTGTGTTAGTTACTCCTTCTTATTTTCTTATGGCCTATGTTCGGGTGTGGATAAATACATCTTGGGTATGGTCATGTGAGGATCTTAGCTTCCCATTTATGGGAAAAAAGGAAGATAAAAGTTGGTTTAGCTATGTTCAACTATTAAGTCTGAGTTTTGTTTTCAACCAGTTTCACAAAGGTATAGAATAGTTTGTTCTGTTCTAAGCTTGTGTTTTTGTTATTTGTGACATGTGATCTGAGTTATGAACATAGTCGTGTCCTGTGCTCTTATACCCCATGTAAGGAGTGTTTTTGGATTAAGGGGGAGTAAATTCAGCCTATGAGGAATGTTTTTGGGATTAACACTATCATGTGTTGGTCGTAATGGATTGGTTCGACTGAACATGAAGAGGAGCAGTTTGTGGTGGCTGAACTTTTGAGTTTGGAATGAAAATGTTTAGAGCTGTTGTAAAGAGATGTTGGATGTGATGTCTCGAAATCAAAATAGATTATTGAGGTTACCTCTTGTTAAAAGCCTTTGTCATATTCTGGCTAAAAAGGGGGAGAGAATATGTGTTGAGGTTCTCTTGTGCCAAGCTTATGTGTGCAGCTTTTAAGGGAGGAGAGAATGAGAATATGTGTTGGACTGTCATGAAGAAGTCCTATGGTTGATGATGTGACATCATGACTGAAGAGAATGAAGACTGCAGACTGTCAAATGTGTGAAGAATAAATACTGACTACTTCTGATGTTTTTAGTTTATGGTTGCTGCTAACTGATTGTATTGTTTAACCTTTGAGTTATGTTCTTGTCTATTTATGCAAAGGTTAGGAAAATTAGTTTTAGCCAAAATAAGCCAAAGGAAGAGATTGTTAATTCTCTAAATTATGTGACTGACATTATGTTTGGTAAAACTAATATATCAACAATATGTTAGATATGATGTATTAACTTGCTAAGAAGAACATGTTAAGCAAAAATTCCTATCTTATGTTGAGACACGTTGAGATGAGAATTTCTCATCATCTAGAACAACATGTCGTATAAGATGTCCTATGAAGGAGCATACGGCATTGCACCTGAGCTGAGCTGACTATTATATTCTATTAAATCATAAAAACATAATATATTTTAAGGATATATATTATCCTATGTGGAGCTTTTTTTAGGTCAAGAAGAATCAATAAGAATATTGAAGAATATGCTCTTTCTAATTATGGATATAAATTAGGAAGATTTGATTGAAGACCTATTATTATGCAGAATCTTCTGCAGAACTGCAATAGATGATGAGATATGATTGAAGGCCCAAATCCAGTTGAGATATAGGTTATAAATAGAAGCTTTATAACCTACGATTGGTACCAACTGTGAATTATAAAGATGTAGTCATTAGGGATGAGTATGTAGCCACTCTCTAGGAGAGTTGGTGTAAGTGAACCACTCGGGTTGTGAGATGGTCATTGTGTTCTCACTCAGAAGCTGTGAAGTAATGAGTTGAGTATTGTTCTTATTGGAAGCTTGTAAGCAAATCCAAGTTGATGTTATTAGTTAGGAGTAAAGTTGTAAACGTGGGAGTTTAAATTTAGGTCTTAGTTGTGTCTTCCTGTTTGTTCATAATTGTTGTGTCCAATCACTATCAATGACTGATGAGGGATTGAGAAGAGCCTCATATACAGGTGAGTCTTAGATAGAAGTATATCATAGGTAGTGATTAAGTGAGTAGAATGTAAACTGGTATGTTAGTTGTAGGGTCAATGAATTGATACTATCATAGTGGAATTGTCCTTGGCTTGATATGCCTTAAGAGTAGGAGAGTTGCTCCGAACTGGGTTAACAATTATGGTGTGTTGTTTATTGCTTTTCATTATCTGTTTTGATTGTTTATACCTTGCATATTTGTTTATCTCAGATCAGATGTCTCGATATGTCATAAGACATATTAGTTCTGACCTACAAGAATTTCGGGACTGATGGCTACACGCTGGAGGCATTATATAAACCCTCACACCTGTGAGGGCCAGGTATCCATTATTCACTCTAAAAACCCTAATATCTTTCTTGTATCTCTTTGCACCTGTTCTTACTTGATCGTCAGAGTGCCTTGCAGGTACACCCCCTCCTCTCCTCAACTTTCCAATCAAGCAGATGTCATCATCAGGGCCCACTGTTACACCCCAAAATTTGCCCTCCTAATTTCTTTTATCTGGCTTAGACTCTTGCATACATATTCCATTAGGTCATTAACATACATTTGCATTCAATAAAGCGCCTAAGGTTCAAAGTTCAGTGGTTGTGCGATATTAGGGTTTCGTAATGATGAAGGCGTTCGTGTCTGATAAAGGCTGATTTCTTATTTAGGCAGAGGGTAGTGGAATTGGGGTTGTGACCTGGGTCGTTGAGAATTTCTTTCTTCATCAAGATACAAGGCTATGATGGTTTATTTTCCTATATGCGATTAAAGCCAGGTTTTCGGTAATTGTGGTCCAATCGGGTTTTTCGTCGAAGATCATGAGATTAGGGTTTGTTTATCAAGGGACTTTCTCAGAGAGCCTTATATTGTGCGACATGAAGTATCTTCTTCAAGGAAATTTCTTAAGGATTTTAGCCTTACATTTTCAAGTAGACATATTTGTGACTTGAATTACAAAAGTTGAAGCACAATATAAGATATGACGCGGGAGAGTGCTAATTGAGTTAGACAAACATGAATAAAGGCTTTGATTTTGGGCAATTGCGATATGGAGAGGTTGTTGTCTGGACTGAGTTCATGAATGAATATTATTGATTTGATTGAATGTTATGACATGTCTTGAGTTTAGGACTAGTTCATTGAATATGCAAGTTGGTTGGAATTCGTTCACCGAGTCATGAAGTGAAGTGCTTAGAGGATAATCAAATGGTACTAAAGAAGTCTAAGCATTGGTTTATTTTCGAGAATTTGATTCAAGCGAGTTTGGAGACCTTATTCACAAGGGTTTCTTGGAATGCAAAAGATGAGATACAAAGAAGCAAGCCTGTTTTCGATGCCATTGAAAACCCTTGTGAGATATCTTTATGGAATGGCCTTATGGCAGGTTACACTAAGAATTACATGTATGTGGAAGCCTTGGGACTTTTTGATAAGTTGATGTGTTATCCTTATCTAAAACCTGATAGCTATACTTATCCGAGTGTTCTTAAAGCCTGTGGCGGGCTTTGTAGAGTTGTGTTGGGACAAATGGTACATACTTGTTTGATAAAAACCGGTTTAATGGTGGATATTGTAGTTAGAAGTTCTCTTGTGAGTATGTATGCTAAATGCAATTCGTTTGAGTATGCTATACAGCTGTTTGATGAAATGCCTGATAAGGATGTGGCGTGCTGGAATACAGTGATTTCTTGTTATTATCAAAGCAGGAAATTTGAAGAAGCTCTGAGATACTTTGGCATGATGAGAAGATATGAATTTGAGCCGGATTCAGTTACAATCACAACTGCTATTTCGTCTTGTTCTAGGCTTTTTGATTTGGAGAAAGGGAGGGAAATTCATAAGGAGTTGATTAATAGTGGGTTTTGGCTGGATTCTTTTGTTAGCTCTGCCCTTGTTGACATGTATGGAAAATGTGGTCACTTAGAAATGGCTATAGAAGTTTTTGAGCAAATGCCTAAAAAGTCTGTTGTTGCTTGGAATTCCATGATTACAGGATATGGTTTTAAAGGCGACTGCTTTTCATGCGTTTAACTTTTTAAGAGAATGTACAATGAAGGAGTCAAACCAACTTTGACTGCTTTGAGCAGTATATTAATGGCTTGTTCACGATCAGTGCAACTACTAGAGGGAAAGTTTGTTCATGGATATATAATACGCAACAGAATACAACCTGATATTTTTATTAACAGCTCACTCATGGATCTATACTTCAAATGTGGAAAGGTTGAGTCAGCCGAAAACATCTTTAAATTGATACCGAAGACAACGCCATTTTCTTGGAATGTTATGATTTCTGGATATGTAACTGAAGGGAAACTTTTTGAAGCACTTAACCTCTTCAGTGAAATAAGACAATCATCTGTTGAACAAGATGCTATTACTTTCGCCAGTGTTTTAGCAGCTTGTTCGCAACTAGCAGCACTAGAAAAGGGTAGAGAGGTCCACAATTTGATTGTTGAGATAAATTTGGGAAACAATGAAGTGGTTATGGGGGATCTTCTTGAGATGTATGCAAAGTGTGGTGCTGTAGGTGAAGCATTTGGTGTTTTCAAATATTTTCCAGAAAGAGATCTGGTCTCCTGGACTTCCATGATTACCGCTTACGGGTCTCATGGTCGGGTCTATGAAGCTTTAGAGCTTTTTGCTAAAATGCTGCTGTAGAATGTAAAACCTGATAGAGTTACTTTTCTTGCCATATTGTCTGCGTGTAGCCATGCTGGATTGGTTGATGATGGATTGTATCATTTCAATGAAATGATCAATGTTCATGGTATCGCGGCTAGATTTGAACATTATTCATGCTTGACTGCTCTTCTTGGACGTGCTGGAAGATTGCACGAAGCATATGAGATTCTACAAAGAAACCCTGAAATCAGGGATGACGTTCAGCTGTTAAGCACCTTATTTTCTGCATGCTGTTTACACAGAAATCTTGACTTAGGGGTTGAAATTGCAGAAAAACTTATTGACAAGGATCCTGATGATTCATCACAAACTGCAAAGAGAAACCATAAAGGCATTAGAAATTTCAGCCGAGTAAAGAGAAATTTACATTTCACTTATGATGAGGAAGCTGGCATCTTCAGCTGAACGTTCCAAAACTACTCCAAAAAAAAATCTCATTACAGCTGTCTAGGCAAAGCAAAAGGCTCATTCCCAGGAGGAAATTCTTAACTCATCCACCATTTAGGCCCTGCATAGAAAGTTGGAAAGTAGAAAATTAGTTTAACAACTCAGCTCAACAGCTTGGTAACTAAACTTCTAACCAAAACTTTCTAACAAAATTCCAACACCTACAACAAACCCTCTAACTGTCAACTAATTCCCATAACTAATTTCCAACAACTTACTAACAACCTACATAACAGAATTTTCTAACAGAATTCTAACAGCTAACTAACCTCTGAACCGCCCATAACAGAAACTTCAACATAATTTAATGAACTCCAACTGATTAATCCCCACCCTGCAATATCTAACTGAAACTACTGGATCCAATGGCTCAGACAATCATCTTTATCTATATAAAGGAGCCTCTATCTTCATTCTTCGGAAGAGGATTTTTTTTCCATAAATCACTAGAGAAAAATCTCAAATCTGCATTCTCTGAGTTTTTTCTTCAGGTCTCATCAACATCATCATGGTTCTTATTTCGTCATCTTCATCATACTTCTTCCTCACTCCTTCAAATAGAATTTCATCACTCAACTCCACCCTAACCTCTCTAACTCTCAACAACCTACAATTCCCCCCTATTCTGCAAAGCACAGAAAGAAGCCGAACACACAAAAAGGGAAAAGTGTGAGAAGTATGCATCACCTACAAAAGAAGGAGAAAAGAAACATCGCAAGAAAGTGAAAGAATCAGAGACGAAATACCTGGAATATCCGCTACACCTCTGGTTTTATATTTCTTATCATCGCCGTCATCGAAATCGCATCGGACGATCTCCGATAGGTAACTCCTGAATCTCTTACTTTCATCATCTCGCATGAAACTTGATTGAATGATTATTCAAATGTGACTGAAATCCGATAAACTCGCACCTTCATATTTCATTCATAATTCCGGATTAGGATATTCTCTGAATATGTGAATTTGAGTTGAAATTGGGAAAAAGGAAGATCACGATCGGAGAGATGAAGCGCGGTGTTTGAGTGAGATGATAGACAGAGATGAGGGTGAATCAGATGGTAGAGATGTGAAGTTGGATGGAAGCAACGAAAGGAGACATAAGTTAAAGAGGAGAAATCATGAACAAAGGTGAGAATTTTGAGGAAGGACGACGGTGTTTTTGCCGGAGATGAGTGGCGCACCGCTGCGTGAAGAAGATAAGAGAGATATATGTGTTCATTGAAATTCCAAGAGCCACAATTTCAACCCTAATTTCCCCTTCATACACATTGTTCTCCTGTCTATTTTCAATTTTCCTTTTTAAATTTTCTCTTGCTTTTTTAAATATTAAACTGATTCATAAATAAGAGAACATTGATCTACAAGTATTGGACTGTGTTGGTAGTGGATGGGTGGACGGAACCACACATTCCCTTTAGGCCCGTTTCTGTGCATTTTTGACACTAAAGGCCTTGGAAGTTGCTACAAAAATTGGTTTAGGACGTTATTGCATGAACCTTGCTCCTATTTTGCTGGACCACACACCTTGAATCTTGGCTTGCACCCCGCCTGATACTCCTTTACTTAATATTTAGGACTTTTTTTGATGTTTTTTAGATTTTTGTTATGAAAAATTGTAATCAAAACCAATAAAAAATGGTAAAAATATTAGAAGGCGTTTTTTAAAGAAATTAATTAGGAATATATTTCTTCTTTCGCTAACCTTTTAGCCAATTTTAATCATTAGTGTTATTCATTTTTGTATCGTGTATTTTATCTGCGATCTTTTAGTATGGATCGTGTGCAATATTTTAATACTTGCTACTAATTTTACTTGTTTGTATAATCTTTCATGACCCCTTGGGATATTTTGGTTCGCATTTAATCTTCGATTTGATTGAACCAAAATTAGACATTAGGATTCTAAATCCATGCATGCTAACATCAGGTAGACGTTTCCCTTTCATTCACCCTTGACTTAGGTCTAACAACGCATGATAACATTAGGTTTAGAAATAGGCTAGTCTCCCCTTGAATTTTCTTTTTTCTTTTTGCATATGCATTTAAAAACTTCCTTTTCTTGCAAACTTCAAAAACACTTAAAAATTACTGATGAGAATGGTGCTTTTGTTGAGCATGGGAAATGATAAGCGGGTCTCTTCTTGATCTTATTGTTTTTTCATTCTAAGCTTTGGTATGGTTCATGTCTCAAAGACTTATTTCATGAATAAGTGGAGAAATGACTAAAATCTCTCCCTTGAGATTAACTAGTTATTCTCTACAAGCAAAAAACACCAACAAATATAAAATTCTTTTTGCCTTCGGGCCTTCCTTTCAAACTATTTTCAAAAGAGCATGTTAATTCACTTCTGTGCTGACGCGTAAGTCTCCAAAGGTCGAATTGCGACAGAAGGTGAAATTAATATCGCTCATTAAAAACCTAAACCAAATTCAAATTTTTGTGCGCCCAGGCAAATTTTCTCCAAACCTTTTCCGAAAGAACATGTTAATTCACTTTTATGCTGACGCGTAAGTCTCCGAAGGTCGAGTTGTGGCAGAAGGCGAAATTAATGTTGTTCATAAAAAATACAAACAAACAAAAACATATAAGCCGAACTACGGTTGCTCTGATTCCTTAAAAGGGATATGTAGGCATCGGGGTAGGGCCCGAACGAGCACAATTTTATTTTCCCTACATTATTTTTCTCCTTTCTTTTGCATGCATTCTCCCTTTAACAGTAATAAATAGTAAGCATAGATTGAACACACCCATAAGATAGATAACAAGAGTGGATACCGTAGAGTACTACGGGTGTGTGGGGTGCTAATACCTTCCCCTCGTGTAATAGACTCCCTTACCCTTATCTCTCGGTCGCAAGACCGTGACTTCTCCCTTCTCAGGTTTTCTCGATGTTTACCTCTCCCTTCCTGTGGGATAAAAGACGTTTGATGGCGACTTCATTATTTGATGATTTTCAGCCGGTTGTTTCAGCTGGCGACTTCACTGGGGACAGGTCGACCAAATGCTGGTCCATCCCGGAGTCGCTCCTAGATCTTGCTTCCTTTTCTTTGGGTGTTTATTTTTACGCTTTCAGTTTATTCATTTGCACATGTTTATCTGAGCATAAGTTTGCATTGCATTTTATTTCTTTCCATATTTGTTATCTATTATGCTGGATTCTGGTTTTCCATGTTGGGTGGGATGTTACTATTGAGGTAAAAGTCCCAGTACCCAGGCCAGAGTGCAATAGGACACTAGGAATAGAGTGGGGGCATGACGGCTATAGGACGTGGTCCTATTAGTGCAGTCATGTCATATACCACGCTCGGATGAGGTTCAAATGAATTACTATCGGCACCCACGTCTATGGGTAAACCCATAGCACTTTCAGGAGGACCCGTGATTTTCGAGTTACCATTGTCTTACCCTGACCTAGTCTTCACCCGTGAGTGGGGAGGGAATTTTATCATAGGTACAGATGGTGACTACGTTCAGATGGTTACTCATACTCGGATGGTGACTACGCACAGACGGTAACTATTGGTTCTAATGGCTATGACCTGGATCTCTGTTATGATTTTATGCAGATGCTATATCCTATTGATGATCGTATGGTTCTCAGATTTATTTTGAGTTTCTGACTTGTTTACCTGGAGGATCATTCAAGCCTTCAATCTTGGTATTCCCAACATTGTTCAGAAATGCTCAACAGTATCCGATGTTCCGGAAGCATTAATCTCGTACAATCAGTGATCTACATGGTACTTGGTTCTTATATGTGCAGAAGCTATGTCGGACCTTTGATCTGATGATACTCACATGGTTCACAATAGTGCAACAATCATATTCGAAATGATGGAACCTTGATCCCATTTGATCTCATATCTGTGCATACATAACATGGTTAACCACATACTTAACATACATGTTCTGTGATTTCCAAGGAATCGTATTTGTAAGCCTTGTGCCAAACTTTTCCATCTTTTTCTTATGTAAAATCAAAATCAAAGCACGTAAATTCCTTGGAAATGACGGAACATGACATGGCATCCGTTCATGCATCCCATGCATATTCATGCATCCATAACAGGTACTCAAAGATTGGGGATTCTTACTCAGACCATGTGTTCTCCTCAGAGGTTCAGTTTGATACTTACTATCATGTGCTCAGAGATCAGTTAGGGAATAACTCCGTGTGGTATACATGCAAGCTTTGGCCCGTGGTCAGAAATTTCTTCAAGCAGGAAGATAATTGATTGAAAACTCGGATGAGCCAGGTCATGGAAGCTCTGATGACAATGTCAACAATCTTGCACCTATTGTCACAATAAAGGTTCTCTCTTCTCCTCATCTTTTGGGATTTGCTTCCAACCATGGAGTGCTACATAATCTCAAGTTTTTGGAACATCTTATCAGCAGATGGTTCCCATCTACTATGTGATCTTATATTAGTGCTTCGTTCTTGTTTATCAACGTCAGACGTAATTGCCACACCGGGGCATCATACTTTTTAATCAGGGGCATCCTCCATAACTCTGTGTTCCCTAATTTGTTCAACATAGTCAGTCTTTATTTCCCAAGTGAATTCATGGGGAAAAGCTTTTAATCCAAGACACAAGAATCTGGATGAGCATGTTGATGCGAGCCCAATGCATTACATCCTATTATTCCCAGCTTTTCCTAGCTCTGATTTTTGAGGTCTTTCTCCCACAAACATCTCTTCTGATTACGATATGTATGCTAGATGGATCCCCTATTCTGGGGTACCCGGTCTTAATATTGAAGATTACAAAGGAGTTGAAATATAAAGCCTAACAACTGTTTGGTGTCTCTTCCAAAGGTCCATTTCCTTTTGGCCAATTGCCACATTCTTTATCACCAGGTGGATGTCTCTTTTTTTTATAGAGGACATACTATATTAGTTTTTATGACGTAGTATGCCTGATGATACAGTTTATATCGATTCGCTTGGAAA